TTCCACTTATGTGAGGCATTGAAACTAGTCAGACTTAGAAGGACATAAAGTAGGTGATTGTGGGGGAACAGGGAGAGGGGCAATGGAAAGTTGTTCAGTGGGTATAGTGTTTCAATACCGCACAGGATGAAAAAGTTCTGTGACCTGTTGCACAACAATGTGAGTATAGTTAATGCTGCTAAACTGTGTGCTTACAAACGATTAAGATGAGGCTGTACGCAGTGGCTCACACCTCTAATCCCAGCACTTTGGGAGGCCAAGGCAGGAGGATCACTTGAACTGAGGAGTTCAAGATTAGCGTGGGCAACATAGGGAAAAAAATGATTAAGATCATAAGTTTTGTGTTATTGACCACAATATATTTTTTAAGTGGATAAAGAAGTCTTTTATCTCTGCCCTTTGAATCTACATGATAACTCCCTGAGTCTTCTTGGGTTTTATTCTGTGAAACTCCTCCTACCTACACCTCTTGACCTCTTGAAATCTAAAAATCAACTTCTGGTTATATGCAGGCAATGAGCTGCCTCCAGGTATCTCCATTTAATCATACAGTGGAAATTAACCATTGTACCTTTTTTATTTTGAGGGAAGAAAGAATGAATACATGGACGTACAATGGAGCATCTAAATCCGTATCTGATGCTGAACTAAATATCAAAAGTATAGCTAATTCTTTTTCCCCTAAGTTACCTTATTATTAAAAAGCTTTTTGAAAAAATTAACTTTATTGAAATATAATTCACATATCATACAATTCATCCATTTAAAGTGTACAATTCTATTATAGCTTTGTGCATATTCACAGAATTGTGCATTCATTGCCACAGATCAATTTAAGAAACGCTTTCATTACTAGAAAGAAACTCAATCCTTAATAGCAGTTGTTCTATTCCCCTAATCCTAGTAAACTATGCTGTTTCCATAGATTTTCCTATTTGGACATTTTTTGTAAATGGCATTATACAAAATGTGGTCTTTTGTGGCAGACTGTTTTTCATTTAGCACGATGTTAAGGGTCAGCCATCTTTTAGCATGTGTTAAGTTCTTAATTTCTTTTTATCGCATACTTCTTAGTATGCATATGCAACATTTTATTTACCCATTTGTCAGTTGATGCACGTTTGGGCTGTTTTACTTTCTGGTTATTATGGAAAATGCTGCTCTGAGCATTCTTACACACATTGATATGTGGATGTATGTTTTCATTTTTATTCATTGTATACTTAGGAGTGAAATTCCTGTGTGTGGAGATAATTTCATGTTTAACCATTTAGCAAGTTTCTTGACCTAAAAAATTGGGATAAGAAAACTTTTTTTTAATGATTTTTAGGAGAACTAATGAATACTTCATTTAAAATACTTGGTAGTTTAATAATTAATTAGATATTTATTGAGGCCCTAAAACAATTACATATTTGAAAGTCTCTCTATACCTTATCTCCAATTTTGCCATTATCTTCATTTTTATATAAGTGGAATGTCAAATATAATTTTCCTTAGGCCAGGTTGATGATGAAGGAAATTGTTGAGTCAGACAGAAGGCATCCTTTTTCTGAATTGTTTTCTTGCCGTCAATAAAATCACGTGTCTTCATTATCATCTGATTTTTAATTTTATTTTTTAGCAACATTTTTCTGCTAAAGTTAGAAGCACCTCAAATTCTGGATGAGCATCATGCAATGCTTTTGGTAGTTATTAATTTTGTGGGAAATATCACCATCTTGTGGTCTGTGGAGATATTTTTAGTAACGTCTTTCCCACTCAGTTGCATTTTCACAACTGCAGTCTTTGTCTGTTTGTTCAGTTTTTTGTTTTGACAGTAGCAGCTATTGGAACTATGATATAATATAGTATTTTTACTATTTTAAGGAACTGTTATTTTATAACTTCAAACAGTTTTGTTGTAAATTACTGTTTTACAAATTATATTCTGTGGACTTGTGGGGTTTCTCTATAAGCATAACAGGGACAGGGCAAATAGAGCAATTTTTTTTTTTCATTTTATATGTTGCTATTCTATGTAACAATTATTTGACAAACATAAAGTTGTGTTTTTCAAAAATTAGGCCAAACTTGTCATTAAAATCATATACTCATTCTTTTTAGTTTGATATTCAATGATCCATTATCAAAGATATATAGAATTATGATAAAAATTGGTAAAAATTATTAAATAAAGATATAAATAAGGAAAAGTGTCAGACGTAGCTTGTCACATTCTGTGACTTTGGTGATAGACTGGAATTTTCCCTTAATGTGTAAAGGCATTTAGAGAGGGGCTTGGCAAGTTAGGTCGAGTGTGCTAAGGAGCCAAGTTTTCCAAGTTGTTCCAACTAATATTTCTCCCCTATTATTGTTCCTCTTTATTGTGGTATCTGTAGTACACGTTATGAAGATGTTAGAGTTCTTCATTTTGTGGGATAGTATGTAGAGAATTTGCTGTCATTGTACCTCATTCTACTACTATGTACTTTTCTGTGGTACTGTTGGGTCTGAACTGACCTCTTGACTCTTTTTGTGGGAAAGAAGGTCCAGAGCTAACTGGGGCACTTGATTTAGGCTTCAGTGACTTTCACTTACATGTAACATGAATGTGATTATATTGAACAAAAACTGCTCTCATAAAGCCTGGGGGGGTTTATGTGTATTTTCATTTCTTTGCACTTTTAATAATAATACCAGCTTCTAAGTAACTTCCTAATAAAATGTTCCATGCACTGTAATTCTGAGAAAGAAGGTTTCCTTATTTACATACCATGTTTCCCTGAAAATAAGACACTGTCTTATATTTATTTTTTCTCAAGAAGACACACTAGGGCTTATTTTCAGGGGATGTCCTATTTTTATTAAAATAATACAGTAATCTACATTTATTCAAATACATTTAAGTCATCTTCTTCTGGAACCTGACAGGGGGAGCCGACCTTGTTGGTGGGGCTGGCGCTAGTGATGCGTGAACTCCTTTCCCCTAGCCATTCACAGGTACACAATAGGATGCCTGTGACCGTGGTTACCACACACGCACTTGTGCAAGTGCAAACGGTTTGGAGAAAGGACTTGTGGCAGATAGAAGGTATTCCAGTCTTCCTTACTGCTCCATACTAGGTCTTATTATTGCGGTAGGGCTTATATTTAACAAATGCATAGAAATCCTGCTAGGGCTTATTTTTTGGATAGGTCTTATTTTCGGGGAAACATGGTATTACAGATGAAGATATTGAGAAATTTGCACCAGGGTCTAAGTTTAAAAATCCGTGATCATTCCATTATGCTAATTTCTTTTGTGCTAGTACCATCCTCTAACATTGGGTAAGAAGCACATTTTGAAACCCAAGTCATCAAATTTTGAAGATAAATGGAAAAATGCATTTTTTACATATTTGATTTTACTGGCATTAAACAAACACATACACATTATATTTTTCTTAAGAAAACTTCATTTTTAAAACATTAAACAATAAACATCTATTGCAAATGAAAAACTTGCAGCCTGAAGTTATGTGCATTTTAAGCATGTTCATGGAACCTCAACATTGAGATTTTTTTCTAGCTTTTCTTTTTTGGGGGGCGGGGTGACAAAGGATATTTATTCAGGCTTGTTTCCTTAGCTTTTCTTTTCTTTATTATAATGTGAGAAAATAACATGTTCACTTATATTAGATTAATTTTTATCTTTGAAGTTTAAGGAATATAAAATTTGAACATGGTTAAA